TGAGAACATAAAGGCATTGTGGTAGCAGAAGAAATGTCGAACATCCTAGGTATATTTATTTTTTATTTACTTGTAAGTTTGTAATGCACCTTATTGACCTTTGTTATAAATGGTACATTATTACTGCCAGACATTATAATTGTCATTACTTTATAGCAGGTTCCAGAGGAGGCTCGAGGTGTATAGAGACGTGAGACATCCCATGAGTCATAATTATCTCGGCGGCAGCCATACTGACAGAACATCCAATTCACATTCACTGAGTATGCTGAGGTAAAATTCACACGAACGTGTTATACAAAGCACACATTTTAATGCGCATGTTTATACGGAATCGAGGATGAACGTGGTTATTGATGGACTTCCTGTCTTGGGTTAGGACCAACAATGGAAATTATGGTGACCTGAGATTAAGATTTTGCAAAGACACTACCGCGTCAGACAACAGATTGCCCCCCGTGTCTTGTCCCGCTAACAGAATCATATCGACATACACAGAAATAAATCTGAATTATGATATGCAGAAGTTTGTGTTTTGTGAGGATGGTTGCATACAGTACAGGCCTACACATGGCCAGCTGTCTGCTCTCAGCCAGTTGGCTTGACCAAGACACACGGAGGAGTTCAGTTTATTGCCAGGATTCGCTGTTAGACCAAAACATATTAAGATAAAATTTACATTCACATAAATATTAAGCCCTGTGTAATATTTGAAAAGACAACTTAAATCCCAGCTTCGTCAGTCAGTTTCTGTCAGTGAGAAGATATATAGGAGCATGTTACCAGTGACATGATCTTGGGACACAGTGTCATGCAAAAGAAAGATAGCCCGTATTTAAGTGAGTAAGTATAACAATTTGAAATTGCCTAAAATGCTGGCTTGCTTTAGCGAACACTTGATGCCCGATGGTACTTGTTCCGAGGGTTTCAACCATATCACATTACGTCAGATAGCAACACTAGACCATCCCACCGAGAGCTTCTCTCATTGTTACTCGAACCGCATCATTTTGAAGTCAAGATTGGCCTCCATGCCAATTATATGTAAAACCCAACATTTCGCCATTGCTTCAATGTGTGCATATAATTTGACGAACCTTGGTGGCAGGTTACATTACGACTAACGTAATAGCTAATCTTGAAGCTCTCGCAAACTATCGACTTTCATTTCACACAGCATTTTCAGTTGTGACAGCCACTGTATCCTTAAAGGATCACGAATTCTCTTGGTTTAAATTGATTAATTCATGGATTCATTCACATGTTTCAATGTTTAATGCTGTGTATACGGTACATAGTTTCTAAAGATATAAAGCATAACAGCTATTTAAGATAAAAGTCAAAGTTATTTATGATTAATGTGGTTATTGATTCTTTTAGAGCGAGTTGTCATTGTTGTGTACAATAGATCAAAGAAGGATATGGTGTTGGAGCTGTTGGCCTGGACAGATTTAGCGAGCACTGAAAATGTATAGATATACATCGAAGGAAGATGCTGAAGGAAACATATGTGAAAGATATGCGGATACAAACAGCCATCATCGAAAGTGAATGTGAGTGAGTTTGGTTTTACGCCGCTTTTGCCAATATTCCAGCAATATTACGGCGGGGGACACCAGTAATGGGCTTCACACATTGCACCTATGTGGGGAATCGAACCCGGATGTTCGGCGTGACGGGCGAACGATTTAACCACTAGGCTACCCGACCGCCCCTCTCATAAAAAAAGTCTGCTCAGGGAGCGCTGTATGAACCACGTCATAACGGGGCATAGCATAAACATGCAACGTTTCTTTACTTTCATTTGTTGAACACTTTGAGATGCGTTATTTATTCGGCATGAAAAGACATTTTCAATTTGCAATCCCAATATTTGAGCATTTTAGGACAACAGGGCTGCATTGCTTAATTTAATGCATATCTTAAGCGACTTTGTGGGGATCTAAAGATTACAAATGGTAAAATGACCTTGAAGAAGATTCGCTACTTGGAAGTCGCTAATGCCTATTTCATCCTTACAACTCACACATGCTTGCTGCAAAAGGCGACTACGCTTTTCATAAGAGGCAACTAACGGGATCGGGTGGTCAGGCTCGCTGACTTGGTTGACATATGCCATCGGTTCCCAATTGCGCAGATCGATGCTCATGCTGTTGATCACTGTATTGTCTGCTCCAGACTCGATTACTTACAGACCGTCGCCATATAGCTGGAATATAGCTGAGTGCGGCGTAAAACTAAACTCACTCACACTACACTCACACCAACGGTGTGAACACAGGACAGGCAAATACCACGCATGCATGATATAAGTATCTATACATGGATCTGTCCCCATGTTTAGGATGCCCTTGTCATATGCTGCAAGCTGTTCCGTTATATAAACTGTCAATTGAGATCCCGCACCCAGAACATCCGGAACATATTTATCAGTTCTGCCAGTGCAAGGAGTATTGCTCAAAAAGACACAGATTGCATCAGACACATTCGTAAATACCAAAGCCAATATTGTAGATGTGATTAGGTAACATTCTGAATAGCTATATGTCCCATTTGCAGTACACAAACTTTACTATGGTTTCTGTCTGTGAATCACCTGCAGTAATTTTCATACAAGAGTGAAAGAATACACAGGAGATGTTTCTCGTATTTTTCTTAATGGAATAAGACAACGTGAAAAACGTGCACATCAAATACCTTTAGCCTTGTAGCGACGTAAAAATGACGTTTCACAACGTTAGGCCACAACGTAAATGGGAGTCCACAGAATTACGTTGTACATAACAACGAAAGTATAACGTTGTGACAACGTAAAATTGTTAGCTGGGTCATACTCCATTTCAGCGCTTTTGTATACCTTCAGTTCAGTGAAGACTGTCCAGCAAGTTTCATCTGGAAATGGGTTTGGAGTTCTGCTACTGAAATGAGCTCCTTAATTCATGATCATCGTTTACAGTATGAATACAACTTGTCAACACGAAAACATAAACAAAAAATATAAATCCCAAATCACCAAGAGGCACCATTTCACCACTAGGCTGATCTGGATAGCAAATTTCATAAAACAATACTCAACAGATTCTGACGTCTGCTCTGCATGGACAGACATGCTGACTGCTACATCCCCATTTTTTCACACAGATACCACCAATACGTGACCAGTCTCTAATGCCGTGCTTATTTTACTGCTAGCAAATGGAAATATCACGCCACAGATTTACACAAATACCCTCTCCGTGACGACCATTCCCCTGTTTAATCACTCAATGCCAAGTCTGTACGAACCTGTATTCTGTCAACACTCCCACCACTGCCTAAAAGGTCTTAGTAAACTTATTATTTATAAAAAAAAACATTTATCACTACTTTCTATACATAATGCAATATGTGGATAAGAGTATTTCATGGTAAAACATAATTCTACTCAGATCTTCCCATTCTTGTGATAATAACATAAGTCAACATGATACATGTCTTGACAAAACTCAACATCGGAAGAGTGACCTCCCCTGATGAACATGAGCCATTTATATGTCGACATTAAACAGTAAAGATTCGTCTCAACAGCTGGGACCTAGACTCTTCTGACAATATTAGCACGTTTTATTGAAGTTTGATATATGTATATATGTGCGATGTCTAACAAGCTAAGCTTGAAGTTTGATATACAGTTTTCTCAGAATATTTTGAGAAAATCTTTGTTTCCGAATACTGATAATGGAATTTTAAAATCGGTGTTACTACCTTATGTAGTAAGGTACTCGATATGGGAGGCAACTCTTGTAGGCTTAAGAATGAACCTTACTAACATCAAGAGTTATCTCCCCTGGTGTAACAGTCGGCTTCGTTTGTTGACATGGTAGATTTGACAGCAAGAAGAGAAAAGAAAGCTGGTTCCGGATGATTTTGAAAGGGGTGTGACTACTGCAAAAGAGTTAGCTGGTAGACATGACATTCCTCCGTCTACAGTATACAGAACTTCGAAGAATATTGAATCAGGATTATGGGATATTGGGATTGAGCACAAGACAGGGGGGTAAGGAAGTTCAGTACTACGGGTCGCCGGCGACTTGGTCAGATTGTGAGGGGGAAATTGAAAAGCGTTGAAAATATCAAAATTGAGATTTTTAACAGAGGAAGTCCTCACGTATGTAAGGAAATACTTAGACAAGAATTACAAAGACTTAACTGGGTGAAAAAGAGCGGAATTCCCTCACCATTGATAAAAGATGCAACAAAAGAAAGACATTTAAACAGGTGTAAGGCTCACGAAAATCAAGATAGGGATGATGTTTTCTTTCCGGATGAAAGTTCTGTGTAGCTTTTTCCGAACTGTGTGAAAATTTGGACAAAAGGTACCGGGAAACCTATCTACCAATGCCCAAAACATAGCCATAACGATATGCTGACATCTTAAATGATCACCTCCTTCCAACGGCCCAAACACGGAAGATAATTGGATTTGCAAGCATAGCGATCCAAAGCACACTGCATGCTGCACAAAACAGTGGTTGTCGGATGTAAATGTTCCAGTTTTAGACTGGCCCAGCAACAGCCAAGATCGTAACCCTATTGAGAATGTGTGGGGCTAATGATGGGCAGAATAAACCAAAAAGGACTTAGAAATATTGAGGATATGAAGAAAGAAGTGGTTGAATATTGGGGTACGCTGTCACACATTTCCTACAAACTTTGATGGTAAATTAGAGTACCTAGGCACATTCAGTCGTGTATTGCAGAGGTCTCACAAAGTACTGAAAAGACTCTTAGACTGTTCGAGAATCATATCTCAACATATTCATTTAAGTAAAACGTCTATAGTTGATATACATGTATTAGATATTTGCCAAAACAACTTGGTCAATAATTTCTGGGAATACTAAATGTATATATGTGACGTCTAACAAGCTAAGCTTATGATCACCCACATGTATGTATTTATCATGGATAGTAGACTCACTTCCCAGTACTAATATATTAGCTGAACAAAAAACAAACACTGAATCTTATTTATCTTTTAATTAACATTTTCATCAAACTATTTGACAATGGATAACACACACCCACACAGCTATATAAACACAACGTTCATAGTCACCCATGCCAAACGACTAAATCTCCTCTAGTGTAAATACAACTGGTTCTATAATCATTCACAGACATACCTCACAAACTCTTTCATGTAAGTTCCAGACCAAACACTGTATATGATTGTATAGGATATGTCTGATATTTAGATAAAAGCTGATGTGTTAGGCAAGACTGACCTTGAAACAGAGTGAAGATTATTAGCTAATCTTTTCAAAATCATTCCCTATGTTTCCTGACAGAGCAAATATTTTCACTCAGATTTTCACTCATGCACAGAATATGTCTAAGGCTGTTTGAGATGCCTGACAAGCTTTTTGACCACATTCTCTCTGGTATTTATCTTGTACTACAGACTTGAATCCACCAGAGAACATCCCGGCCAGCAGACACCTACTTCTTCTGTTCTCTGTTCAAGACTGAAACAGTACATTCACAAAGAGCTTACACGACCTACAAAATGTCTACCTGGGATATATTACCAGTACAACTGTACATTGTTGTTGGGTAAGAGTGAATAGCCAGTATGGTTTTAAGCCACTTTTGGCAATATTCCAGCAACAACATCTTGGGGTACACCGGAAATGGGCTTCACACATTGTATCCAGGTTCTTCAGTATGATGAGCAAACGCTTTAAGCACTAGGCTACTCCACTGTCCGTGTTGACTAAGAGGATCAAGTGGAGGCTAGTGGTGAAAGCTGTGAATAGTCCTTGTGATCCACAGGCACTCACTCAACCAATAAAGATTTAACAAAGAACAAAAACAAACACATCTTTCAGTTCTGCATGACTCTCACATCTTGGCAAACAGAGAAAAGTCTTATTATAACTGGTGTATCGGAGTGTTTTATTATAACACATGGCGTAATATTTCATTGAATACTCATAAGGTGCTACGTGTGGTCAGCACTCATGTCTCGAATAGTGCATACATTCTCACATAAACCTTCACTTGTTGCTTGTTGTAGTAGTCATGGCCTGACAGTGTACACTTTCTGATCCTTCACTTGCTATTCCGTACCTCTTGTAGATGGTACATATTGTTCCTACAACTGCAGCACAACAGGAGTGAAGAATAGCTGTGACACCATGAAGGTCATAGGTTGTGATACAAGGTGAAGGTCACCAACGATAATGAGAATAGGCTTTGTTGGCCTCACACTGGCGATGTAGGTCTTGTTTCTTGCGAATACTTCTGCCCTAAAATGAAACTCTGATATTAAGGGACCAGTCAATTTGTGTACAAATGCCTGAAAATACCTTAAACAATATAGTGACCCAAGTCAGTCTACCTCCCCTCTGTAGGCATCCAGCAAAATACAGGGACTGACCATGTGTATGAGTAATCTACCTCCCCCTCTGTATGCATCCAGCAACATACAGTGTTCACGAATGGTGTTTCAAAGTAACAGGACATTGGGTCCTGTAAGTTTCAGATCTCTGTCTGACCGATTGAAAATTCACAGGACCCATAGAATACAATAAAACACACATTTCAGATTAAACATTTCTTATAATGAGCATCAAAATTATTAACATACATTAGATTTATAAACAGCAAACAAGTGTCACATGTCACATATAAAAACTTCAGTCAAAGTCATTGTGAAATATACAGTCAGACACTGGGGCCGGCGGGTGGTAGACTTCTATCGGACTGTTGGCGAATCTGCCGGATTCGTCAGAGGGTCAGACGCTATTCGTGAACACTGAACATACAGGGACTGACCCTGTGTATGAGTTAATCTACCTCCCCCTCTGTAGGCATCCAGCAACATACAGGGACTGACCCTGTGTATGAGTTAACCTACCTCCCCTCTGTAGGCATCCAGCAACATACAGGAACTGACCCTGTGTATGAGTTAACCTACCTCCCCTCTGTAGGCATCCAGCAACATACAGGAACTGACCCTGTGTATGAGTTAATCTACCTCCCCCTCTGTAGGCATCCAGCAACATACAGGGACTGACCCTGTGTATGAGTTAATCTACCTCCCCTCTGTAGGCATCCAGCAACATACAGGAACTGACCCTGTGTATGAGTTAATCTACCTCCCCCTCTGTAGGCATCCAGCAACATACAGGAACTGACCCTGTGTATGAGTTAATCTACCTCCCCTCTGTAGGCATCCAGCAACATACAGGAACTGACCCTGTGTATGAGTTAACCTACCTCCCCCTCTGTAGGCATCCAGCAACATACAGGAACTGACCCTGTGTATGAGAGTTAATCTACCTCCCCTCTGTAGGCATCCAGCAACATACAGGAACTGACCCTGTGTATGAGTTAATCTACCTACCTCCCTCTGTAGGCATCCAGCAACATACAGGAACTGACCCTGTGTATGAGTTAATCTACCTCCCCTCTGTAGGCATCCAGCAACATACAGGAACTGACCCTGTGTATGAGTTAACCTACCTCCCCTCTGTAGGCATCCAGCAACATACAGGAACTGACCCTGTGTATGAGTTAATCTACCTCCCCTCTGTAGGCATCCAGCAACATACAGGAACTGACCCTGTGTATGGAGAGTTAACCTACCTCCCCTCTGTAGGCATCCAGCAACATACAGGAACTGACCATGTGTATGAGTTAACCTACCTCCCCTCTGTAGGCATCCAGCAACATACAGGAACTGACCCTGTGTATGAGTTAACCTACCTCCCCTCTGTAGGCATCCAGCAACATACAGGAACTGACCCTGTGTATGAGTTAACCTACCTCCCCTCTGTAGGCATCCAGCAACATACAGGAACTGACCCTGTGTATGAGTTAACCTACCTCCTCTCTCTGTAGGCATCCAGCAACATACAGGAACTGACCCTGTGTATGAGTTAATCTACCTCCCTCTGTAGGCATCCAGCAACATACAGGAACTGACCCTGTGTATGAGTTAACCTACCTCCCCTCTGTAGGCATCCAGCAACATACAGGAACTGACCATGTGTATGAGTTAATCTACCTCCCCTCTGTAGGCATCCAGCAACATACAGGAACTGACCATGTGTATGATGAGGCATCCAGCAACATTACTGACCCTGTGTATGAAGTGAACCCTCCCTCTGTAGGCATCCAGCAACATACAGGAACTGACCATGTGTATGAGTTAACCTACCTCCCCTCTGTAGGCATCCAGCAACATACAGGAACTGACCCTGTGTATGAGTTAACCTACCTCCCCTCTGTAGGCATCCAGCAACATACAGGAACTGACCCTGTGTATGAGTTAACCTACCTCCCCTCTGTAGGCATCCAGCAACTCTCGTGCAAGCTTTTGCTCCATGGGCATCTTCCTCTCCTTGTCCCTACAGCTGTCTATCAGCCACCTCATAGCCTTGTACCGCTTGTAGCTATCTTTACAAGGAATGGGAACCTGCAGGAAACAGTGGTGGAATTAACAGACTGCTTGCTACATTCACTGTTCACACATGCATTATTACACCCCTGACCTAAAAAAGGTTGTTGGTGTATACCAAGGAGTTCCATCTGTCTGAAAACATGTCTTGAAAACCTTTTGGTTGGATTGTTTTCAAATACACCTTCTTTGCCTGAAAGAGAGGTGCAGTGTGAATTTTGATTATGATGTTTTATTCCTTTTTTAAGAAGTAATAGTAATAGTCCGCTTATATGGCGCTCATATTGCCTGCTCACTGCGCTACGTACATTACTATCCACGGTCATTTCTGATACTTTTTCCACTCCCTGGGGATCACACAGCCATGCTACCTGTTAGGCGCAATGAACTAAACACTCACATTGCCAGCACATCCTCATGGGCACCCGTTTTACAGCTGGGTGAACTGAGACAATGTGGATCTAAGTATCTTGTCGAAGGATACTACGCAAATGTGCCCACCTCAGGACCCAAACCTAGGTGCCTCCGAGTTCAACAACAGCAACTTACAAATTTGACTTTACAAAATATTTGTTCAACCACTAACTTGAAACCTATTGGTTGGACTGGCTTCAAATTTGGAAAACACTTGCTTTGTCTAAAGAAGAGGACCAGTGAAAAGTTTGGTTCTGATTTTCTTATTTTTTGAAAGAATGTTTATCTGTTTACATATTTTGATATGGGAAAAAAAGAAGGGAACCAATAACTTGAACACATTAACAGAGATTGTTTTCAAATTTGGGTATCACCCTCAGTATCTTTAGGAGAGGTGCAGTTCAAATTTATACATTGATATTTGTTTTATTTATCAAGAATTATCACAAATCACATGTCTTGATCTTGAGTCCCACAAATAATTTGGTCAACCACATTTGGTCACAATCATTTAATAACTGTTTTCAGATTTCGGTGATGGCTTGTTGTTCAGCCTTGCTCACATTTTTTGGCTTATTTAACAATGCAGAGCTACAGATAACTTTTTGGGTCATTGAGTTATGTGCTCGCTTGTGTTCATCTCAATTGGGTATCCTTATTTTCCTTTGAGTAACCAAATAAATTGTACCCACCTCACTCAAACTCAATTGGGTATTTTGCCATTTTATATTAATTGTAAAAATATAATAAAGTATAAATGTTATTTATATTGGATCTGTAATATGAGAAACGATAAGAAAGACTGCAAGTTGCCAAGTTCATGTGTTGAAATAGAACCTCTGAATATACCTCAGTTATTTTATCTATGCACCAGTACGCAAGCTATGATTCGACATTTTTGTGTGCACGCATGTAAGATCAAATTGATTGAGTATTTACAAAAAGTCAAGCTTACCTGTACGCAACAGACTTAATAAGAATTGACTTTTCACATAAATATTTGTGTAATTTACGCAGATACGCAGCTTATCTGTACCTCTGACTATGACATCACAACTGCCATATATCACCTGATACATGACTTCTCCCAGCTTAATACACATCTCATATCACCTGATACATGACTCCTCCCATCAGATCCACATTTAGTATCACCTGATATATGACTCCTCCCATCAGACACATCTCATATCAAATGATACATGACTCTTCCCATCAGATACACATCTATACCACCTGGTACATGACTCCTCCAATCAGATACACATGTAGTATCACCTGGTACATAACTCCTCCAATCAGATACACATTTAGTATCACCTGGTACATAACTCCTCCCATCAGATACACATTTAGTATCACCTGGTACATAACTCCTCCCATCAGATACACATTTAGTATCACCTGGTACATAACTCCTCCCATCAGACACATATCACCTGATACATGACTCTTCTCATCAGATACACATCTATACAACCTGGTACATGACTCCTCCAATCAGATACACATTTAGTATCACCTGATACATGACTCCTCTCATCAAATACACATCTCATATCCCCTGATATATGACTCCTTCCATAAGATCCACATCTCATATCACCTGATACATGACTCTTCCCATCAGATACACATCTCATATCCCCTGATACATGACTCCTCCCATAAGATCCACATCACATATCACCTGATATATGACTCCTCCCATCAGATCCACATCTCATATCACCTGATATATGACTCCTCCCATCAGATCCACATCTCATATCACCTGATATATGACTCCTCCCTACAGATCCACATCTCATATCACCTGATATATGACTCCTCCCTACAGATCCACATCTCATATCACCTGATATATGACTCCTCCCTACAGATCCACATCTCATATCACCTGATATATGACTCCTCCCTACAGATCCACATCTCATATCACCTGATATATGACTCCTCCCATCAGATCCACATCTCATATCCCCTGATATACCATTATATGACTCCTCCCATCAGACACACATCTCATATCACCTGATACATGACTCCTCCCTACAGATCCACATCTCATATCACCTGATATATGACTCCTCCCTACAGATCCACATCTCACCTAAACTGTTACATGACTCCTCCCATCAGAGCAACACCTCACCTAAACTGTTACATGACTCCTCCCATCAGACACACATCTCATATCACCTGATATATGACTCCTCCCATCAGACACACATCTCATATCACCTGATACATGACTCCTCCCATCAGAGCAACACCTCACCTAAACTGTTACATGACTCCTCCCAGTCTGATAACATCTTGGATCATCTGATACACGACTCCTCTCCATTTAACACTAGTACATGATAGTGTTCCCCCTAGGATTCAGAAAGGGCAGGGTAAATTAAACAAAAAGGGCACTTCATAATCTAAAAGGGCACTTTGGTGAGGATTATTGAAAAAATAACAATAACAAAATGTATATGAAGTCAAATGCTCTTATAATTTTATTTCTAAAGTTCATTTATTACTCTTCTCATTTTGTATTTTAAGATCAAAATTTGGAAAAAAAAGCATTTCAAGACATTAACCTGTTGTCACATTTGTTTACAATTTCACAAAACATGCAAACAACAATTTACAGTCTTCTTTTCTTTCTTGCCAAGCATCTGTTCACAACTTTTTTCAAGTCAATGTCTGAAACTGACGATGCATTCAGGCTAATCATGAGAAGTCCGTTGCAATTTTGAACACTGAGTCTGTTTCTATGATCTGTCACAATCAGTTTCACTTTTGAGAACACTCTCTCAACTTCAGAAGTGGACAATCACAGTTGCATGAATGGACAGTAATTGAACAATGTTTGGATTCAAGTTTCCAAGTTGAGGCTTGAGTCTTCAAAATGGTGGAGGGTGAACTGGTGTCAAGCTCCTTTACTTGACTCCACTCAATCTGTGTTTGGTCGACATTAAGTCCATTTCTGCCCTTGGTGTTCCACTTAGAACATAATGAACAAAACATCATTCCCTTCTTTTTGTCATCTTCTGAGTACCTCGACCAGGGACGGTTTTGTTGCCACTTTGTGTCAAATGCAGTCTTGTGACCACCATCTTTCTTCTGTGTTGGATTAACTGACTCTGTCTCGTGTGCCCTTGAATTTTCATAGGAAACTACCTCTGACTCGTCCGGTCTGAAAAAAAAAATAATTACAAAGTTCATATACCATATTCAAAATATTCTTAGATATTAAATTTGCAACATAATTATTAAAACAAAAATATCACACAATAATACACCTGAACGTAAGTATCTACTGTGGAGAGCCTCGACGAGGGTGTGGCTTCCCACTGTTTGAAATCGTAAAATAGTTTTACGCCTTCAAGACCAAGTGAAGCTGTTATGCAAGCTGTATTAACTATTTCATTTCCCAGGACAAACAACAAAATAATTCAAGATCAATTTCAAATTGCCGATGGATTCAAAATGGCGGACATTTTCGAGTTTCAGATTTTCACCTGAACAGCACAGTCACATGAATATCGGTCCCCCAAACGTACCAAAATACATCCCATGTAGTTCACACATCGTTGTCTTTAATAAATGAAGGTCTTATTTGAAAGGCATGTGAAATTGAAAGGGAAATCAACGGCCGAAAAATCACGAACTTAGAGGCACATACCTGTTAGGAGCGAAGAAATCTATTAGTCGGTGACACTTCCTTGCTTCAACCTTCACCGCTTCTTCTCTTTTCCATTTGATTCTTTCCTTGGTAGGCATTGTGATTTGTAAAGCGAATTAAACACATTTGACTTCGCCATGGTTTAAATGCCAATTTCCTAATCATTATCAAAACAATTTGGTGTCTCCCCTTGAAAGGGAGAGAACTCCGTCCTTAATAAAATCCGGAAAATACACACGGGTTGTTGTAAAATCAAGCACAGCTGGAAAAAAAACTGGGATTGAGGCGAAAAGGGCAGGGTGCAAAACAAAAAGGGCAGGGCGCAAAAATCAAAGGGCAGGGCGCAGCGCCCTCCTAAATGTGCCTAGGGGGAACACTAACATGACTCCTCCCAGCCTGACATCAAAATCCACCTCACTTGTCACTTCACTCTTCCCAACTGATGCCCACCTGATATGATGCCTGCCCATAGGACACATCACTTCTGGGCTTCATGATATTGTCACAAACCTGATATCTTCTCATCCAATACACAATCTCATCCTTCCCTTCAGTATACACATACTTCTCACCTGATACATGACTCCGCCTCTCTGGACCTTTGTGAGGATAAGAATTGGTTCACAGTTCTGAACAGCAGTATGAAAGATTGTCAGTGGATTGCATTCAATACTTTCTTTCTCTTGTAAATCTTCAGTCTTGTGGTATTTTTCAACCTGAATTCTTTTTAAATTCTCCAGCATCTGAAACATTAGAGCCAACAGTTACTTTCAGACATAGCGATGTTTGTATTAAAAACGTCAGGTATAATGGATTCAGATACAATTCAGAATCATATCAAAGGAACTGAAAGACTGCAAATAAAATTTGTCTCTAGATTTTGTCCAGGTTGTAAAAGTGTGACTGACTGAATATGGTGTTACACCGCTTTTTAAAAGCAGCGTAACACCATATTCAGTCAGAATAGCAATATTCCAGCAATATCACGGCAGGGGACACCAGAAATGGGCTTCACATTGTACCATGTTGGGAATCGATCCTGGGCCTTCGGTGTGACGAGCGAACACTTAAACCATTAGCCTACCCCACTGCCCTTGTAAAAGTGTGAGACAGGACAGATGCAAACATGTATATCCTAAGTCCAGATGTCCTTCATCTTATAAGACCAGTGGTACTCACATTATCCATAATCTGCTGTACACGTGCTCGGTTTCCAGACTTCATCATTTGACGAATGAACTTCCTATAACAAAGAAACAAAGAAAAGAATTCTTCCAAGGAATTCATTATAAAGAGCACCGGTGTCGGTTTTGGGATTTATCATGGTTACCATGGTTACACTTAAACTTCCTGGGTTGTTCAGAAATCTTCACATTGTAAGACTGTATTCACAATAAGATGATAATTATGAAGATGTCTGTGTGTCATCTGTCTCAACATTCATGCACATAAATATATACTTACTGCACTGTGTCGTCATAGTATACTGAAGACGTCTGCTCTATATATAAATATATACTTACTGCACTGTCTCGTCATAGTATACTGAAGACGTCTGCTCTATAAAGGCTGCTTTGATTGGCTGGAATCTACGAGGGTCTGAGTCTGGCAAAGGCTCTTCCAGGTCTTTTTTCTTAAATGTTGGTTCCTGATAGTTGGTAGAGTAAATGGCAGTCCTAGCATGAGAGAGTCTGGAGAAAGAGATAATGCAAGTTAACAACTCAACATTCAAAAAGTTCAAATATTGTGCTGTTCTGAAATTACATACAAAAATCTCTACCAAATGTGTATCAGCTTAATTAAATATTTCAGGATATATGTTCCACCTGTTTAACCTGCCATATGAATTTAATCTGTAAGCTGCTACACTCTACAATGATCAGTTCCATATGGAATTCATTCTATACTGAATACATACTGCCAGTGTTAATATACTATGGAAAACATTGCCAAGTGATAAATGTTCCACTGGAATAATTTCCAACTAACACCTTAATACCAGTTAAAGTGAACATACTGTTTCAGCAACTATTACCTTAATACCAGTTACAGCGAATGTACTGTTACAGCAACACCCCAGATAGCAAAGGTGTGTTGGGCCAATGTTGGTATATGGTTGGTTGGTTGACCAACGGTTTGACAACGTGGCCCAACGTTATCTTAATGACTTAAAAGTAATGGTGACTTTGGACACAATGGTCCAACAGTGGGCCAACATTGCTTTCTCCAAATTGAATACCAAACTTGTCAGCACTGATAGCTTTACTTGATATTCAAAGAGCAGACGACACTACATTTCTGGAGGCCTTCAACTGGTAAATATGCATTGTTATTTCTGTGATACTGCATTGCGAATATATTGTGAAATAATTGGTTTAAATCATCATATAGGCTGAAGAAACTGACACATACTGTATTGAAAGGCATTTGATTGAGTAGATAAAAGATATAATTGACTCTTTTCTTTAGGTAGCCTGTTTTAACCACTTTGATAAATCTCATTTCATTTTAAATTATTTAAATTTATTGTGTTTACTTTATTAACATTATGTGTTTGTCAGTTACACTCCTGTTTCCATATACAACTCTCTCTATTATTCATCTTTACAACCAATAATTGCTAAATATCATCATATCAGATATATGTATATATCAGTTATAGTAGTTACACATCATATCCAAATAAAACATTGTTTGAACAGCATTCTAGAAGTTGGTGAGTCAAAAATGAAACATACAACTCTATGGATGACAACTTCTTCTCTATTGTATAGAGCGACGTTTTGATGTTGATTTTTACACCGTTATCAAGCTAAACGTGACTACAACCAAATGATGAGAAGTATATATACATGTACATACTATGTTTTGTCAAATAAACATAATTGGGAGCGGCCAGTTGGGGACTAAGAACAACAAATGGATCTAGTGATGAAACCAATTAACAAGGAAGCGAGGGAGGAGGGGGGTGGAATGGTAGGTTGTAACAACCTGATAGGGTGATTTGATAGTAGTCTATAGTTTGATTAGTTCTTCATATCCCAATGGTATGTAGTGGGGCGGTGGGGTAGCCCAGTGGTTAAAGCGTTGGCTAGTCACGCCGAAGACCCGGGTTCGAATCCCCACATGGGTACAATGTGTGAAGCCCATTTCTGGTGTCCCCCGCCGTGATGTTGCTGGAATATTGCTAAAAGCAGCGTAAAACCAAACTCAGTCAGTCAGTCAGTGGTATGTAGTATCCTTGGTCTCTATTGATCAAAGGTTTGTTGGCTGATTTTGATGGCTTCCAAAAAATTTCTTTTTGTGAAGTCCTGATTCTTGGTGGATAAGATTTCGAATTTGTCAAACCAGCCCCCTAAAACTAAGTTTGGCCTCATCTCAACCCTGATCAAGCACGCTAAGAACATTGCACCAGCGGCCATGACCTAGAACATGAGCAGGACCACCTACAACATGTCTTCACGAGCCTCAACCAGTAACCCACCAACTCATAGTCAGTTTGATTTCATTTGAGACCAATGAATTGCTCACTAACACAAAATCTAATAATTGCAACAAAACCAAATTTTGCAGTCACATGAAAACGACAGACCAATGAAGCACTAATCAAACGATAGACTCTATCAAAGCACCCTATCAGCTTGTTGTTACAACTGAATCCCCCCCTTGTTTATTGGCTTCATCGCCATTCCATTTGTTGTTCTTAGTCCCCATCTGGCCTCTCCATATAATGTACCAGTTGTTATTCAATTACATGTTGTTGTTAATGTCAATCTGCTGATTGTCAAAACATACTATGCATATATACTTCTCATCATTTGGTTTTAGCTTGATAACAGTGTAAGAATCTACATCCGAACGTCACTCTGTGCAATAAACAAGAAGTTTTCAATCATTAAGTTGTTGAAAAACCTGTCAGTGGCGACAGCCAAAAGACCTAAGACAAGAATATTTTCAAGAAATACAATAATGTCCAAATAACAATGAAAAAAAGAATTAAATAGTTCACTTGATTAACTGTTGTGTTGTTTATATATGTTTCTGATTGCAGAGGTCAGGAAAGAGCTGAATGTTGAAATACAGTTGTGCCAACATAAGGCCAACTTAATCACATCATTGGGCCAAGTATGGGCCATGGTTTAGTACAAAGGTGAAAAAAGAGCTAAATGTTGTAACACGATGGTGCCAACATAAGGCCAACAAAATCACTACGTTGGGCCAACTATGGGCCATGATTTTTTGTGAATTTTCATTCGTTGGCCCAACAATGAACCAACATGATGGGCCAACATGGAGCCGATGAGCATATCCAAGTGGGCCCATCGTCAGTATGACAACTATGGGCCAACCAAACCAGTGATTATGGGCCAACTATGGGCCGACATATCAATGCTATCTGGGACCTTAACAGGGATTGGGAAAGACAGGGGCCATGTGCCATTTTGCACATTAGAATAAAAAATGGCCCATTAAAATTTTAAGGTTTACCCGGTACTATTGATACAAGGGCAGTGGCCCATTCTAAATTCAGAAAATGGCTAATAATCCTGAAAATGGCCCATTGTCAAAGTTCTCTATCCCAATCACTGCTTTAATACCAGTCACAGTAAACCTACTGTTTCAGCAACTATTACTTTAATACCAGTTACAGTAAACATACTGTTTCAGCAACTATTACTTTAATACTATTCCAGCAACTATCAGACAGTGAGTGAGTGAGTGAGTTTAGTTTTACGCTGCACTCAGCAATATTCCAGCTATATGCCAGCGGTCTGTAAATAATCGAGTCTGGACCAGACACTCCAGTGATCAACAGCATGAGCATCAATCTGCACAATTGGGAACCGATGACATGTGTCAACCAAGTCAGCGAGCCTGACCACCCGATCCCGTTAGTTGCCTCTTACGACAAGCATAGTCGCCTTTTGTGGCAAGCATGGGTTGCTGAAGACCTATTCTACCCCGGATCTTCACTGGTACTATCAGAGAGAGCTAAGTGGTACGCAACACAAAACTGACACAGAACTGGATCGAAAATGGTATTCAGAACTGAGAACAGACACCATTAATCCACATTATCCATATGTCTTGAAATATGGGAATTCTTTAAATAAGTATTTCCTCATGGTCTTACTGCAGAGACAAGCATGTGACATCAACTCTTACTAGCCATGCTTGCACTTGCAGGTGTTGCTATGTAAAATGTCATCTACTGGGTGGTGTACCTGTGAAGAACACAACTCCGGCAGGGGCTAGATTTGTGTTACACACCCTCACATACTTCCACTCAAAGTCAGCTTCAAGTCAGCATTGAATCAATTCCCACAACATCCTGCTCTAAACGGTAATGTCTGCAACGGTAAGCTCCCACCTGAGTTCCCCTAATACAATCAGTGTAACTCCACTAAAGTTAATTTGCCTTGAACTTGACATTGGAATATTGATTAATTTTTCCTTGGGAGAAGGATTGCAAGTCATCAGATTGTGTTGGAGTAACTTCCCTTAGAACAGCAAGCAAGCCACTTGTTTGACATGCATGTAATGCATTTTGAGAAACCATTTCAGCCCTGGCAGAATCAATACAATCTGATTTCATTAGATTTCCTGTTGTCTTCAAGTCATCAGATTGAATTAGCTGATATAATTTCAAACATCACGAATTGAGATTTCAATGTCTTTAGAGACATGTTAAGAGATAGGGATATTTCTTGATTACAAATGGTAAAACAGTAACATAATGCAAGAACCATACTACAATCCACAAGGCTTCCTAAATGTTTATGTATACAATAATGTTTACACGAAGTAATTCATCTCTCCCAAGACAGTTCATCAAACAGAGAAAGAATTGTATCTTGCTTAGCTTTCATTAGCATTTCAGTTAGATGTCCCATCAATGTGGGAGGTAGGCCAGAAGCAGGGTTAGCAGTCTAGTGAAACCCTGGTGCACACATTTGTTCCTGACAAACCAGAGATCAGAACAGATGAGCCAAGGGGCACAACTCCGCTTATCAAGAAGACATACAGGACTTGAGGTAAATCCCTGCACCCCATAGATGTACATGTATTCTTTCTTAAGCATAATTTAAACATACAAGATGGAAAACATTAGCTTGAATGACTGCGAAATAATGAAAATCATGCGAGCAGGAAACTAATACAAAACATGCAACTGTTAAAAGCTTGTACTGCATGAGTTCGCCAATATTTTGAAATTAATGAAAATGACTTTAAAATCTAAAGCCAAGCCTAATCCACACAATGAGCTCATTGGAATTGTCCCCAATACATTCCAGGTATGACTGTAATAATGTAATTTTCTGAGTAAAAATGTAATTTTTAGAGTAAAATTGATATTTTATACTTATCCTGACTCATGCTTTTTTGCTTGTCTTCTTCTTCTTTGCGAACATAGTGGAACACTTGTATCTCCCAATTGAAGTTCCCTTCAATGTAAAATCACTAATTAGTACTCACCCTGAGTTATCTTTCCCCTCGTAAGCGCGGGAACGAGGGCGCCACCTCCCACCATGTGCCTCACTCTCTCCTTTGTAGTGAGCCCAACACTTGAATTTACAGGGAAATCCAAAGTGTTATGTGGGGAGGACGGGAGGGCTTACCTCATGAGTCAGGATAAGTATAAAGTATCAATTTTACTCAGAAAATTACATATTTTTCCTTATCCTGACTC